TGTCAGAATCCAGTTTCTGAAGTCTGGAAATTAACCAAAGCCTTGCAGCACGGTGAGGAGTGTTTATTCAAGAAATATGGCTGAATTTCAGCAAGAGCAGCTGGATCCGGACTTTGTGCACCGGGGCGCGGAGAGGTAGCCCCGGGACGGCCGGGATCGGCTGTGCAGGTGCCAGAAGCGGCTAGTGGTGGCGGCCCTAGTGTGGCCGCTTCCTGATCTGCTGCCGCCTGGAGCCCGGAGCCCGCAGCCCGCGAGCACCCAGGGCCAGGCCGGTGCTCTGGGGCTCCGGCGACAGCAATGGAGCTTCGGCAGGCCCTGCCCTGAGCCAGGAGTGAACGGCTGCAGAGTGCGTGAGTGTTTGTGGGTGGGTGTGTGAGTGAATGAAGCCAAGGCTGCTGGGAATTGGGATGCACCCTGGCACCCCGCTGCTCTTCACTCTGGGGGTTTGAGGTCTTTAAAACCATTAGGGAGGGAGAAATAATAAAAGGAGACCTGCTTTCCCTTTTTTTAAAAAAAAAACCTTATGGGACCACGGACATTAAGTGGCACAGGACTGCAGTCAAGCCGATACTAATCTAAATTAGACCGTTGTAAATTAAGATGTTAACTATAATCCCCAGGGCAACCATTAAGAAAATGAAAAAAAAAAAAAAAATACATAGTGAAAAAAACCAAGGGAATTAAAATGGTACATTAGAACACACGTATTTAACAAAAAAGGCAGTAATGAAAGAACAGAGGACTAAAAACAGACATAAGACATATAGAAAACAAATAGCAAAATGGCAGATGTAAACCCTATCTTATCAGTAATTACTCTAAATGGAAATAGTTTAAACGCCCCAATTAAAAGGCAGAGATTAGCAGAATGGACTTAAAAAAAAAAAAAGATCCTACTATAAGCTGTCTATAAGACCACTTTAGATTCAAAGAAATAAACTGAGAGTATGGGATGGAGTAAGATATATATACCATGCAAACAATAACCAAAAAGAGCTAGAATGGCTATACTACCATCAGAGAAAACACTATAGACAAAACAGACTTTAAGCCTCAAAATACACGAAGCAAAAGATGACAGAATGGAAGTGACAAAAAGACAATTCAGCAACAGTTGGAGACTTCAAGACCCCACTTTCAGTAACGGGTGTAACAACTATACAAAAGATAAACCAAGAAGCAGAAGACTTGAACAACAGAGTAAACCAATTAGATCTACCAGATATATTCAGAACACTTCACCCAACAACATTCTTCTCAAGTGCACATGGAACACTCTCCATGAGAGACTGTTAGGCCATACAACAAGTCTCAATACATTTAAAAGGATTAAAATCATACAAAGCATGACAATATATAAATGAATGGATGTGGCCATGTTCTAGTAAAACTTTACGACAGGCAGTGATCCTTGCCCAAGGGTTAGTCTGTCAATCCCTGCTCTTGGTAGTACTTACCAGAAACGACAAAAGTTAGAAAACTGGGTTTCTAAAACAGGTTCTGTAATTAATAATCAATCAATCAATCAATCAGCAGTATGACCTTGGGAAGTCATCCAACCCTTTCTGAGCTTCTCAATTCCTTTACTGGATTAAATCTGTATAGATGGTGACTTGTACAGGTGAAAGTATATGTATAT